TTTGAGAGATTTTGCTTTTTTTTTTTTTGGATATTGCCTTAGTATGTAAAACGTAGCTAAATGTTGTAACTTTCCACTTTAAAAGTAATGAGTTACTTGTCAAATGTGCGTCATTTAAACCTCCTCAGACAGTGACTCAAATCCCTAACCTAGTGTTTACTCTCGCCGTCTGCTATTAAAGCACAGTCCTCTGAGACCTAGAATTAAATGTATTAACTGACGGGGGAAACATCATTAGGATTGTTCACTGTTACTTAACTGAGGCAGGTGTTCTGTGGACTGACAAGACAAATGACTCATTAGAAAACATAGAATTAGGGTCAAAATTTGATCTTGAAATGAATTGACGGGGTACAGTGGGCTCTATGCACAGCTAGAGTTTTTCAGCCAATGAAGAACTTACAAGGAAAGGTTTTCGTGACTATTTTCAATTTCATAAGATTCTTTTTACAGCATCAATGTTTTAATGTAATTAAACTACAGTCAGTTAAATAGACTTAAGCATCCATTTAGTTGTTCGAGCATAAAAAGAGATGAAATACAGGCGCCATCATTAGCTGCAGGCTAGTGCAGAAACTCTATTGAAAATACTGAGATAAAATTAAATTCCATATTTTAAAGACATGGCAAGGAAACATGGAATTTAAAGCAGTGCTTCTTGTTTAGTCTGATACCTACTTCATATCAAATATTTATCAGGCAGTGAAGATAGCTGTTTTTTTTTTTTTTATAAAAAATCAGATCTTAAACACAGCGATTTTGTATAGGATGACAATTCACTGGAAGCACTGGGGCTGGCTGACTGAAATTGAAAGTATGTGTGCATATACCCCGCCCTGATGTTACAAACATTTGTGGTGTTTCTAAGCACAGTTTTAATGAACATTTACAAATTCACAGTGGTTAGAACAAACATGGTTTCTTCTTAATATGCCAAATGAACAAAAAAAGATCATGCACCTTAGCAAATTAAGGAAGTTTGTATAAAGTGAAATCTAGATCTTCCATTCTATGTATTCCAACATGAGAAGACGTGTTCCTACATTCATGGCAAAACAGTAGCAGCTTCTCAAACTGCATATATCAAACTGTATGGGAAGACTCAACAAATGGTAACAATAAACATTTACAAAGCACTGCAATACTTTCTAAAATCAAGACTGCAATATATAAGGGTGCCATGATATTATATTTATATTCAGCATTATATAGGCTACAGTAGTTACACTGATGCCTTAAACACTTATTTTCATCCACATGCATTGCCGTAATCATAACTCTAAAATGCGCTATGATTATTTAAATAAAGTACGCACTTTCGGTTTCAAGTTTACTGCCAAATGCGGCTCATAACATGGCTGTCGGGACCTTGAGAATTAAAAAACAAACATGCAAATGACATTTCCCGCGCGGCTCCCATACGATCGATCTGTGCAACAAGCTGAACGTTATTTACAACTTTATTACCTGTTATTCTAGGGAGGTTCTGTTTAGTAAAGTAGACATCATTGGGGGGCTTGTGTGCATCCTTTCCGTAGCAAACAGCTCACGTATCAGCTCACGTATGATTTTGTGGCTATAAATACGTCATTACAATACAACAAAAATTACATTTTTTGGGTGATTTATACCTTATAAATTCAGTATGTGACACTTTTAACACCATTAAGAGGTGTCCATGTTGCTGAGCAACATATATAAAACAATGCAAAGACGACGGCCTTTACGCTTCCCTCCTGACCTTGAAAATATAATTGGCTAAATCATAAAAGCTGTGTATAGGGTCGAATTGAGACCTCAATTTTTTTTCGAACAATCGTGCAGCTCTAATTCACAATGGCACAATAATACACTAAAAAAATATACGCAGACTGCAAAATGTGGTTTAATTGCTCTAGTGAATGGTGGATTTAATATTTTGAAGATTCCTTAGAGTTCACTTTGACCCCTGCTTGAAATCCAACCTACTGGTGCTTAAAGAACAACATCATAAAAGATAACACTCAGTTTTGTTTGACATACGAAATGTGAAGGATGTGAAAGTAGACAAAATGACTGAACAAATCCAAAACCTGCTGAGCACAACATTGTCTTCCTCACATCTGTTTTTTAAAGTCTACTCAGTGGTCGCCAAAGCAATTTTCTTAGTTCATAAAGTAAAACTCAAAAGGCTTTAGAACTCCCTGCAAAAAAAAAAAAAGCTGCGCATCAAGTATTTCATTTCCCAGCAAGAGTTCTTTAACAAACATGCAAGGAAGTACACTACACAAGCCCTGCCAAAAATGTACTTTCGACACTTTCTTTGGCTCAGGGTGCATGTTCCAGGCTTCTGTTTGGGCTCTAAGCCTTCCGAAAACATTCCCCCTAAAAGAATTCCTGCATTTCTGTCAAAACACAGCTCTGACCAGGCCAAAGTGCATGCTGAGTGTGAGTGTGTGTGGCCACGCTGCACCACAAGGGATGTTGAGAGCGATCACAGGCACTGTCAAAACATTCCCTCAACCTCTCCCCTCAGAGTCACACTGAAATAGCCCCTTTCCACATCTAGGCACTTCTGCTCCTCCGTGATTGGGAAAGTTCTCCAAATTCACCACTGCCAGCAAAAAGTCAGACCATTTATTACACAACCAAGTCAGCTGGTTTCTCGGGACTTATTCTTGGGTGATTTATCAATAGATGATTTAGAGCAGATATTGAAGACAAACCAACATGTGGACGGCATACATTCAGAAGGCTGGTGCCATGGTGGAGTATATGGGGGGTTGGTGATGGGTCTATCCAGCCACCTCAGTCCAAATGAATGTGAAAGAAGTATTAATCACAATGATGGAAAAGACTGTTTAAAACTGGCTTTCTTGCATTAATGCTAGCCTTGCATATCATTTGAAGGCTTGCAGTCATTTTGATTGGAACATTTCATTCTTTAATTGGTTATGTAGATCATAATGTGTCAAAAAATAATGCACATCTTTGGAGTTCGCTAATGGTGTTCAATTGTTTTTCACCAGTTGCAGTCCAGGCTGGCCACAATAAGTGTGTTTTTAGTCTGCCACTCGCATTGGCATAGCACCATTATAGCTATTTGACAGGGGTGGTGTTGGTATCTTAACTGTATTAATAGCAAACCCTATGAATGTGGTCATGTTTCCATGTTCTACACACTGTAATATGCTCAATGGCTTTTAGTTGCATAGCTGTAGTAATAGCAGCATTTGTTTATTTATGAATGCAACACTTATAGTTTAATTGTGGAGGCTTGCATTATGCCATCACCACACTTGGTTTCTCAGAAGCCCCATCTTGAGTACTGCACTGGCACCAGCTCTGATCCTTCAGTATTATAAAGCAACCTATGATGCAGTGAATTGAATGATAGAGAACACATAATAATGTATATTAGTTTTGGGTCACTTATAAAATTTAGAAAGTCTGATTCAATTTCTGAAAGTCTAAATGAAAATGATTACAATAACAAAATGAGTTGGTGTGTCATTAGTGAAACAATAATACTAACATGTTGAGTGTCACAAATGTCTTCTCATCTATGACGCACACGTTAGTAACTTATTCAGCAAGAAGCACCTTAAAGAGATAGTTTAGCCCAGTAATGTCCAAAGTCGGTCCTGGAGAGCTGGTGTCCTGCAGATTTTAGCTCCTACTTACCTCAACACACCTGAATGGATGTTTCTAGAAAGCCAAGTAAGAGCTTGGTTAGCTAGCACATGTGTGTCTGATTGGGGTTGGAACTAAACTTTACAGGACACCGGCCCTCTAGGACCGCGTTTGGGCACCCCTGGTTTAGCCAAAAATGTAAATTCTGTAATTTAGGCTACTCCTCACTGGTTCCGACCCTTTTTGAGTTCAATTCACCTGTTAAACACAAAAGACGATATTTTAAAGAAAGCTTTAAACCTAAAACCATTGACTTCAATAGTAGGCTATTTGTTTTTTCTAATTATGAAAGTTAATGGTTACAGTTTTATAGCTTTCTTCAAAATATCTTGGCTTGTGTTTAACAATTCAATTTGATTTCAATTTGTCTTTAATTCTGTGTGTGTCAAAGCAGCTTAACATAGAAGTTCTAGCAAAACAGAATAAAAAAAAAAAAATCACAAATCTTTGGAACCACTTGAGGGTGAGTAATTACCAAATACATTTTCATTTTTTGGTGAACTATCCCTTTAATGTGAGCTCAACTTCGCCTTTATAACAAATGTTAACAAATGATATACAGGTGACGCTTACAGCAAATAAGGTTGCTGGTTAGAGCCTCGGCTGGGTCAGTTGGCGTTTCTGTGTGGAGTTTCCCCCACAGTCAAGACACATGCGGTATAGGTGAATTGGATGGGCTAAATTGTCTGTAGTGTATGAGTGTGAATGAGTATGTTTCCCAGAGATGGGTTGCAGCTGGAAGGGCAAACGCTGCATAAAACATATGCTAAATAAGTTGGCGGTTCATTCTGCTGCGGCAATTCCAGATTAATAAAGGGACAAAGCCGAAAAGAAAATGAATGAACGAAAAATTTTTACATGCTACAACAGGGGTGTCCAAACTCGATTCTGGACGGCCACTGTCCAGGAGACCTTAGCTGCAACCCTAATCAACCACACCTAAACCAACTGATTAAGGTCTTACTAGATATACTTCAACCTTTCTGGCAGATGTGTTGAAGCAAGTTGAAGCTAAACTCAGAAGCACACCAGCCCTCTTGGACCGAGTTTGGACATCCCTGTACTATAATAAAAGAAGAAAAAAAAAGAAATACAAGTACCTGAAACTAAATAACTAAGCAAGTGAACACTTTTTTTATTGTTGTTGACCTTTTCTTAACATCCGTTGACTGTTTCTCGAGGGCCACACCTGAGGAAACCTGACACACTTTGCCAACAAGGCACTTAAAATAAACTTTTCTTGACCCAAATTGACACTTGCAGACGTGACAAAGTGTTTATACGTGTGCTATGATGTACAGACCGGTTATCCGGGATTCGTTACTCACCCAATAACAGCAGTTTCACTTCCTTGGCGGCTTTCTCCCCGTCCTCGCGCAGATTTCTGTCAATCATTTTGGACCGCTCCAACGCGGCTTTATCTTCCTGGCTCACGGTACAGCCCATGGTTCCGAATGCGCGCTTCAGGGCGACGGATTTATGAGTATAGATTTAAGAGAAAAAATGAAAAGGTATTACCCTTTTAAAGCGAGAGGAGACCTTAAAAATAGTCTTCCGTGAGTAACTTCCTCTTTTGGCTTTGAAAAAACCCGACTGTCGCAAGTCCAAGAAAAGGAAATGTCCTTAAGACACAAGTAGCTCCAAAACCGTTGTTTTTACGCGTCGGAAATTTTTCAGCAAACCGTATGAGGTTTGGGGCAAATCTGAACTGATATATTTGAATGAAATTTGAACAACACCTGGAATCTGTTGACGTTTAACGTTAAGGCTCCCGAGAGAAACCAAGTAACCAGACGCTGGAGTTTTACATCACGCGAATGGGGAGGGAAAAACTTACATCCACAAATACAAAAAGTTTGCCCCAAAAAAGTTTAGATCAACCCCCTTGTGCTCAGGTATGAAAAAGCAAGACGATCGGTGAAACGTGCTGCGCCTGGAAACGTGAATGAATCCGAAAATGCAACAAAAAATGTCCGTTGTGCTCCTCGGTTAGTCCTTTCGGTGGTCGCCGAGGATTTAAAGAGCACGCGCCCGTTAGAAAGCAAACGCTGAGTGGTTTCTGATTTCTGTGAGTGTTTTCACAGCCGCCACACCCCAGTCTGCTCCGAGAAGTTGCTCTCTCTGCCACACACACATACATACACACAGTTCAGAATTGTTGGGCTCCTCGCGCACTGCCAGCCAGCCCCTCTGATACGCCCACCGCGGGTGCTCATGGGAAATGAAGTTTGCACGAACCAATAAATTTGCATTCAAACGAACTTGAATAACAAAATAACTGATAATTATTCACAGTGTGACTCTACTTACTATGTCTTATTTTATATTGTAGTTCAGTATTTATGATATAATATGATATATAAATATCACGTTATTATATAAATATCACGTTTTGGCGACATGGTGGCTCAGTGGTCAAGAAGGTTGACGGAGTCCCGACTGGGTCAGTTGGCATTTCTGCGTGATGTTTGCATGTTCTCCTCGTTTTAATTGCAGATTGAATTTAATTGAGTGTATTGTATAAGTGTGTAAGTATGTGTGGATGTGTGTGGATTATATGTTAATTTCTGTTTTTTGATGTGTATGTTTTACACCTTTTATTTTATTTTCCCTTTATACGCCTTTTTATTATTTATTTTTGTACTCTTTTATTTATTTATCTTTGATTTATGTAGGCCTGTTTATTAATTTGTTTATTTTATCCACAATTTTTTTCATAAAGTTTAATAAAAGTAATTTAAAAAAACTCTCCTTTCTTTTTTTATTATTATGGATGAAAGTAGGGGCGACACAGAGGCTCAGTGGTTAGCGCTGTTGCCTCACAGCAAGAAGGTTGCTGGTTCCAAAGACATGCGCTATAGGTGAATTGAATAAATTGGCCATAGTGAATGAGTGTGTGTATATGGATATTTCCCAGAGTCCACTGTGTAAAATATATGCTGGATAAGTTGGCGGTTCATTCCGCTGTGGCGACCCCTAATAAATAAGAGACTAAGCCTAAGAAAAATGAATGTACGGATAAATGTATAAACAAAAAGAACATAGAGCAGATAAACAAAAACACTTGACCCTCAGGAATAAATCTGCTGGAAAGATCCAAAAGAGGATCAAAAACTATTTTAATGAAAAGTTCAAATAACAAAATCAAAAGTTCAAATAACTAAATATTTGTCATCTGAAAAACATTTTAAGAAAAAAAAAATGTTTTCACCATAAAGAATATTTTGTAAAATGAAACGTTTTTATGGATGCTAAAGGGATTATAAAGCCAAAATGTAGCTGAAAACAGTTAACCAAAACAAGTGGAAGACAATGGTTGCTGGTTTTCAGCTTTCTTTAAAATATCTTCTTTTGCGTTAAAAAAAAAACTTAAACTGGTTTGGAACATTCATTCATTTTTCTTCGGCCTAGTCTGATTTATCAGAGGTCACCACAGCAGAATGAACAGCCAACTATTCCGGCATTTGTTTTACACAGCAGATGCCCTTCTGGTCACAAGCCAGTGGTTCGAGGCAGGATTCAAACCAGCAACCATCTTGCTGTGAGGCTAACCACTGAGCCACTGGGTTTGGAACATCTCAAGGGTGAATATTTGATGACAGAATATTGATTGACATTTTGGCTGAACTATCCCTTTAGAAGTTCTTCATGAAACCATCAATGACAATAAAAAAGCTTTATGTGTGGTAGCAGTAACAAACATTGTAGCAAATCCACATGATGTTTCACCTGGAATAAAACAGCACATAAGGCACACATAGAGGAAAACTTTTCATCAGTGGTATCCCTGAATAGTTTATTATATTATTTCTAATTATTTCTGTCACTTTTCTTGTTTCATTGTTCAACTTTAAAGTCATCTGGAGAACATCTAAAATATTAAATAGCTTATTATATTTATATTTTATTTTATGAAGTAAATTATTAATTATTACCATTAATTAATTACACAGAGAGCGTTGGTATTTAAATGTAAACGTAAAATATATATTAAGACATAAATGAAGTATGTGTGAAGTAGTACAGCTGACTTGTTTTGTTATTATTCAATGATGACAGATGACATTCTTCAGAGAGAGCCTGTTAGAAATCTCTTTTGTTGAGGCAATGTCAATATTGACGCTCTGATTTCAGCACTTGCTCTGTATGATATGTGCTCAGGCTGGACATGAAACCTTGTTTAATTAAATGCTTGTAGTACGATTTACGTGTCCCTATCGTTTGGCTAAAGCAAACAGCATTAATCAGAGAGCAGAGCTTTGTGTGTGTTTTATAGCGCCCTCGTGTGTCTAAAATTATAATTCACACAGTAGGTTTTAGGCGAAATCTTTAATCATCTAAACTCTAAAAACGCTGGGCCATTTTAATCCACGTTGGCTATTTTTACCCAATTGAATTTAAATTACAGGCCTATTTTTAAACCCAACGGATAAGCTTGTTCATATTTGGTAAAAACAACACAACGTTTGAGTGTTAAAGAGTGTAAAATCAAAAGTAATTTCCAAATAGCTTAATTTAACTGTTAAATAAATAAAATGGCTTATTTCTGTGCTAATGATGAAAATCAGACCCACTAACCTCAGATGCAAATCCGTTGACGAGTTTCAGTTTCTCGCAGGGCAATGAAACTCTCATAACATTGTAAACATTTCTCTCTTTTTGCCTGAAAGAAGTTTAATACAAGTTCTTGAATAAGCATGGACACTTACAAGTTTCTACATCTTGTTTATATACACTATAAACAGCAGCTACCCTAATTATTCTCTTTATTCTCCATTTCCACCTTGGGATACTCATCCCGAGATCCTCAGATTATGCGGAGTCACTGATTGGACCCAAGACCAGCGACGAGATGATCCCAAGGTGTCCATATCCGGGACCAGGCCGTATCCTGAGCTGCTGCTGCTGCGCTGTTGGTCATGGGGGAGTGGCGAGCATGAGACTGATTCCAGTGACGCTCCAGGGACAGACGAGTCTTCGCTGAGGCCAGCTTCCAGCCTCCACTGCTGAGACTGAAGCTCTGCACAAGACTTTTGGCCAGCGGAAAAATTAAAATGGTCGTGCCGAACTGAGTCTGGTTCTCTCAAGGTTTTTTTTCTTCACTCTTCTGTTGGTGAATTTTTTTCCTCTCCGCTGTCGCCACTGGCTTGCATGGTTCAGGATCTGAAAAGCTACTCAACGATGAATTTTCTCTTCAGTGTTTGGACTCTCAATAATGACTTCAAACCACACTGAACTGAGCCAAACTGAACTGAACTTAAACACTAAAAACTAACTACCCTGTTCCAGTTACTATGACCATTTATGTGAAGCTGCTTTGACACAATCTACATTGTAAAAGTGCTATACAAATAAAGCTGAATTGAATTGAATTGAATTACTAATATAGGAAAGTGCTTATAAAGTGTTAGATGGACGTCAAATCAATATGCATGTTTGACCTGTTTTTTGATGCCAACATTAACATTATTTTGATATTATTTTGACATCAAGGTGCCTGCTGGGTTGGTTCAAATAATTTGTCACACAGTTAGTGTGAACATTTTCAAAGAACTGCTCCTTCTAGGCAAGATTCTGTTTTGACGTATAAATATAAAGGAAAGAGCAGTGCTCATGGTGGAAGATAAGATCTGCAGGTTTGGAGACGTCATTTATTCTTTCAGACTTCTCTGCCCTTGAAAAGAACACCTTTTTGTCACATTTTGTTTGTTAAATGTTATTTGTGCTGTTGCAGGGTTAATTGAATTCAATGCAACACAAATTAAGAGAAATAAAAATGTTTTGATATCAATCTTGAAATGGAATTGATATCAGATATAGTCTCTCAGAGAAAAACTCTTTCCAGATATTAGAGTCATTGCAGAGATGTATGGATGCAGTCCTCCAAGCTCATGGAAGTCATACACAATATTAATTCTTTATTCACTGCACCATGACTTTATATTCAATACTGTACATTATTGCTGTTAAGTGACAAGACTTTTGTCAAAGCAAAGTCAGACATTACTGTCCTAATTAAATAATTAAAAATCAAGGCATGATCATATTTTATTTTATTAAAATAAGCGTAATCTAGAGGCCTTTGCCTTTCATATAAGCCACTTCTGATACTAAAAGATCAACTAGAAGTCAAGCTAGTATCTTGTTCCTAAAGCTTGGATAGGCGACAAGACCTTGTCAGGTACAGTTAGTACAGGTACTGTAGTGTTTAATTTAGTATTTAACTTAAATTTTTGTTATAATGTAGGGGAGCGCGGGCAGTAACTCAGGGTTAAATGTAACACGGAGTTTCAAGGTATTTGCTCAGTGTTAACCATGGCATGCTTCCAAGGTTTTCACCAGAGTGTCAGCAGACGTCAATTATTGAAAAAAATTGGCGAAATTTGCATGAGAAACACAGGAGAAAGCATTTTTGCAGCATAAGAGTATTTTTTATTAAGCTCTCAAAGCCCTTTCAGCATATAGATTCGGGCCGTAATCGCTGTAATTCCACCCTAGCCACTCATGACATGCACATACTGTATGTTTTGGTCTTGTATAAAGCTTGATTACTTTTGGAACACTATTTTTAAAACTTTTTCTGTTTTTTTAGGTATATATATATATATCTCCCCTTACAAACTGATTGCCATTTTTGGAATTTTGCCTACGTCATATAATCTTACAAAAATACAATCTTATTGCATAGCTTTTATTGTGCTCCTGGCCTAACGACTAATATTGCTTAGGTGGAGCGATCAGAAACCTCCAACCCCAACACAGTGGATCCGTGATGTCCTCTTCTTTGTAAAGTTGGGAAAAATTAGACTGTCTAGAGATTCATATAAACAGTTTAAGAAAATTTGGTAGCCATTTAGGATATATATCCAAGAACATGTTATATTGTCAACTACAGTCCTTGTTCCAGCAAATTGATTTTTTCTTTCCTAAGTGCAAAGTAGAGTGGATTGTGTGCTTCAGATTGTACAATT